TTACTGTTATTGGAAATATGAAGCATGGAAAAAATACTTGTGAATCTATCTCTTTTCATTAAACTTGATGCAAAAGGTGTGTACAAAATTGGATTTGTCGACCAATAATCTTTAATATGAGGTTTCTCAACCAAACTCATATGTACAATTATTGAAAAAAAATTTTTTAATTCACTTAACGTTACAGGTTTCCATTTATGCCAAACTGATTTTTTTTTTAACAAATTACGACGTTTTAGAGATTTTATGGTTGTAAACGCATACCTATTTGTTTCTTTTTTTATAAGTTTTATTAATGAGTCCGAAAAAAATATTTTAAAACAATCTAGTTCATTAGAATTCGAATTTATACTGTTTGTAATATGAGGAGTTCCTGTGAATGCATGTGGATGAGGTTTAGTATTCCTAGGAAGCCAATTTTCTGGTGGTATAATGTTAAGCCTATCATTATTGAGTTGACCTGTAATATTAGCTGCTGGTAATATATTTTGAAATAATTCATTTTCGTCATCAGAACTTTCAAATCCCCAATTAGAGGCATCATTTACTACTTCAATAATATTTTCTACCGGAGGGTCTAAAGGAACTGCCAGAACTTCATTATTATCCGCAATCTCAATTTCGTGTTCATTAATATCAAATGGTACAGGTAATAAATTTGTAAATTCGGGCTCATCATCGTCTAAAAAAAGGTATATACCTAAGTAAGTAAATAATAGGAGAAATAAATAAGTATAGGTGGGTAGGTGGGTAGTATATATAATAAAATACAAAAGGAAATCATAAATAATGTTATAATATGTTTAAGCTATTGTACTAAGTATGTACTAACCGAGTTCAAAATCATCATTATCAACATTGTTGTCAATTTCTGAACTACTATCATCAGCAAATTCATCAATTATTTGAGAAATATCATAATTAGACAATTTTTGAGCCATTATATTATTATTATTTTTTTCGAATACAACTACAACACGTCAAGCGCCGAACAATATCGAACAATCGCGGCTGTTCTGATACTAATCAGCTTATCAGGTGGGCTACAGTTCATACCAATGGCACGTGTATGATAAAATGCGGCCGATATAATATCTAATTGATATTATCATAAACTAATATAATATTACTAAGCTCTTTGGAAAATTTTTAATTTTATATCGATATTTAATTCCCAAAGACTTTATAAACAAGTCCTTCGTCCATTACAACTACACAAGCGAAGACTTGCCAGGCGAGTCGTACGTCTCGTACGTTAATATTTCAAAACCAACGTTCGTCTATTAGATTAAATTCTTTTGGACTTGTTAAACGAGTCCATCGTCTGCTACGTCATAACAAAAAAAACCTATGTCCGTCTCCAATGTGTTAATTAGGTACTAGGTACATATAAATAATTCACAGAAATTAATTATTATAATTTACAGTAGTCTCCATATTATGATCCAGTAATTTATGCCTGTTACACATAAGTGACATAACCCTTCTGCAGTTTCATTACTTGCTAACCGTTATAGGTGCAAGTATACTACTGTTTTTGAGTTATAGTAGTAATGATAAAACATAACAGTATTCACTTCAATGCTATTTCAATATTTGGAAGATTTTCTTTATCACATTTCTCCATTTTTAGTTATACCTATTATGGATTCATATACAGAATCAAAATTGACAGAATGGGGATTCACAACAAAAACCATTGAAGTTTTTAAAGGTATCTACTATGTATTTTTCTCTTCTAGTTATATTATTTAAGTACAGTGGCGCCGAACTAAAATTTAATAGGAGGGGCAACTACATATTTGAGGTACCCACCCAAACTTTTAAAGATGAACAGATAGGTGACCCTCTCCTACATCACATTTTAATGACTTCAGTCCTTAAGCTTAATAATAATGATAAATTACAAAATTACAAGATGCTTAAAATGTAACAAATGCCTTAAAGCATTAAAAATAATAAATTTGCAACAAAATTAATATTTTTAGGCTCATACTATAATCATTTTAGCGAAACTTTGGTTAAGATTATAGGGCTGAGGTATCCTGGAACACTCTTGTGACGTCATCGTATCTAGTGTACCAAAACGGTAAGAAATGTTGCTGTTGTCGTTCATTGTGCTAGTGGTTGTTATAGGTACGGAGGTATTATGAACTACTGTTGACGAAAATACATTGCTAGGTTCAGGTCGTGCAAATGCATTCACATTATCGATTATGGGCGCTGAACCAAAGGTTGACATGCGCTGAACACTCGATGTAGTCCCGTGTGTTTGAATTGTTTTGATTACATTTTCTACTGCAGCAAGACGTGCCGCCTGCCCCTCGACTAGACATACTCTTTCCGTTAGGCTTGACATTTCTTCCTTCGTTTCATGTTTATAATTCGCTATACGGTGATCAGTATATTGCTTACACTCGATCCGAACTTTCTGTTGTTCCGATTGACATTGTCCACTGGCAAAGCCTAAATCTGCCCGTAATTCTTCAATATTCTTGTCAAGTTTTGAGTCTAACTTATTTAATATACTCTGGTGGCTGTCGAACCTATCATTACATTCTATACGACTGCCCTCGAATTTTTCATTGATCTCAGCAAGACTAGTTCTGAAGTCCGTACTAAAATCGATCCGGTTCTGTTCAAGTTTTTCATTGAGTGCGCTATATTTTCGTTCGATGGAATTGTGGATTAAATCAAATTTCCTATTTGACTCTTCACTTTGATTGCGGATCGCTTTATTTTGAGCCTGGACTTGGTCAAACATCCGTTGGAAGTAGTCCTGATCGTCCAGCACTCGAGTCATATTGACCTGAGACAGCGCCGATTTCTCAAGTTGTTCCCCTTCTTCGGACATCGTTATATCAAAATCGGAGGCGGGCAAATTGATATTATATGGTTGGGAGGGGTCGTAGCGTTCCGGGGGGCGAGTATTGCGTTTGCCGGCGCTTTGCATCTAGTTAGACTGCTTAGTCCAAATAAGGTTTTTTTTTTTATTTTTAAATTTTAATTTGAGAAACGTATATGTTTAAGGTCCTCTTAATTGACTATCTTGAATTACCGAATATTATAATTTATAATTGCTCAGGTGGACCACGATATATATATATATACGATATATTGATGGATAATGAGGTGACCAGGTTATGATACGTACCTACTCGAGGGGTATAGCGTCAATTAGGTAATTGAACGCTTAATAGATCAAATAATCTTAGTGACGTACAATGATTTTAGTATGGTTCGGAGTTCACGCACTTTATAGTTTGGACTGTAACAGCTCCGACGATGAAATTCTGCTAAACCCACCGATAATGATATAATACAATATATTCTTACAAATCTTAACTAGATATATTAATATTATATAACTCTGGGTTATAATTTAAATTCCCCGTGTTTAATTATTATACTAAACCAGGTTTAGAGGGTTAGACTGACCACTTATATTAATACGAATACAATTTAATAGTTTAAATAACGTCAGCCAGAACCCTCACACACCGGGCGACGGGCGTTGGACTAAGAGAGGACAATCCAACAACGTTCGTAAACAACAACAACACATCAATAACACGATTGACCATACCAGAAATATCTAATGTTACTCTTAAACTAATCTTCTTCTTCTACTGGCATTTTTACTCTAAGAGTTTTTGCCGCCATGACTACACTTCGCCACCTGTCTCTATCTTAAACTGCCTCCCTCCAATTCTCAACTGCAAGGATTTTTAAATCTTCTTCTACCACGTCTATCCATCTTTTTCTCGGTCTACCTCTTGGCCTTTTACCTATTGGCTTCCATTCCAATGTCACTCTAACTACTTCATTATGTGTCCTAACCATTGTATTCTTTGGCTTTTAATGAAGCTTGTTACTGTTGTTAGTTCCAACATATCGTACAGCTCTCTGTTGTACCTCCTTCGCCAATTCCTCGTTGTTTCGTCAAAGACAGGTCCACATATTTTCCTCCATATTCTGTGTTCAAAAGTCCTCAGTTTTCTCTCTGTTTGTTTAGTTGTCGTCCAAGCTTCGCAACCATACGTAAGCGTCGGTCTTATAATGGCTACGTATAGTCTTGTTTTCATTTTCCTTGATGACATTTTGGACGTGAAAAATTTTGTCAGTGCATAGAACGTTCTCTGAGCTTTGTTTATTCGAATACTTATTTCCTTTGACCAGTCATTCTTTGTACTTAATGTGGCTCCCAAATATTTGAAATTGTTTACTTTTTCATAGGGTAAATTTTCCTACTCATTAGGGTCCTCCCCACTCTCAATTAGTTCCATTATCTTTGTTTTCTCAGTGTTAATTTCAAGACCTATTCTTTTCGCTGCTTCTTCTAACACTCTGGCTGCGTTGGCTGTGTCTGAAAGCGAATCACCTATTATGTCTAAATCATCAGTGAAGTCGAGAACCTGTAACTTATTCTGGCCGATTAGTAGGCCACCTTCATTGTCCTGTAGTACCCTTATTACCTTCTCTAGAGCAAGATTGAAGAGTACTGGGGACAGGGCGTCTCCCTGCTTTAATCCGGTTTCCACTTTAAAGGTTTCTGATGTTACATTTTGTGTTCTCACTCTGTATTCCGTGTTTTCCATACACATTTTAGTTAGAACTATTAATCCTTTTGGGAAAGCGAACTCGTACATAATGTTGTAGAGGCTCTCTCTGTGGATACTATCATAGGCTTTTTTGAAATCTATGAATAGTTGCCAAATATTCTGCCGATATTCGTACCTCTTTTCAATTATTTGGCCTATTACGGATAGTTGTTCTGTGGTTGAACGTCCTTTTCGGAAACCGCATTGGTATTCACCTAAACAGTCCTCCACATAAAGGACCATGCGATTTAGTAAAATTCTAGAGAAGACCTTGTACGCAGAGTTTAAGAGAGATATCCCTCTATAATTGTCACATTTTGTCTTGTCCCCTTTTTTGTACAATGGTATGATGATTGCTTCATTCCAGCTATCCGGTACTCGTTCTTCCATCCATATTTGCTAGCACAGTCTGTATAATACTACATGTAGCTCCTCACCTCCATATTTAATGAGTTCTGCTGGAATATTATCCGTACCCGGTGCTTTCCAGTTTTTCAGGCCAATTATAGCACTTTTTACTTCATCCAGACTAACATCCTCTACAAAGGGCTCCGGTCTTTCATATTCGACATGTGTTACAGGCTGGGCTGTCATCTTACCATTTAGTAGTTTTTCAAAATAACCTTTCCATCTCTCAGCTCTTGACTCTGGCTCCGTTAACATTTGTCCGTCTTGGTCTCTGATTGCATTCCATATAGGGTTGAATTGTTTATACTGTTTGATGACTCTAAAAAAATTTCTAGTTCTTCCCTGTGTATGATCGTTCTCTGCGGTATGAAGTATGTTGTTAAAGAATTTTCTTTTTTCCCTTTGAAGGGCGCCTTTGCAGATTTTACGTTCCCGAAAGAAAGCTTCTTTAGTTGTTTGAGTATTGTTCTTAATAAATTCATCCCTCGCTTTGCGGCGCTTATCTATAGCAGTTCTACATGCATCATTATACCAAGTATTTCTTGACCTTTTTAGCTCACCAATGCTAGTGTCCGCTGCTTTTTTGACAGCATTACTCACTTTTTCCCAATCCAGATCTACGTCTATTTCTATTTGTACGTTATTCTCTTTAAGCTTCTTCCTTACTTCGTTCTCATAATTTTTCCTCACGGTTTCATCTCTTAGTAACTCTAGATTGAATTTAGCTCTTTTGTCTTGTTTTAATCTCGATTGGCTTTTTAACTTTGATCTAAGTTTGGCAATCACTAAGTAATGGTCCGTGTCGCAGTCGGCCCCTCTGTGGCTTCTTACATCGTGGATAGTACTACGGTATCTAGTCTGTATGAGGATGTGATCGATTTGGTTCAGAGTTTCTCCATCCGGTGATCTCCATGTGGCTTTGTGAATATTTTTATGTGGGAACGTGGTACTACTAACAGTCAACCCATTTGATGTTGCAAACGCTATCAATCGCTGACCATTGTCATTGCTGTTGCGATGCAAACTTTCCTTCCCTATGCAAGGGAAGTACTGTGGTTCCCGGCCGCATTTAGCATTAAAGTCCCCTATTACAATCCTTATCATGTTCCCAGTAATACCCTCATATTTATTTATTTATTTATTTATTTATTATTATAGACGGGCGGATGCCCAATAAAAAAAAATATACAAAGGAATGGTCGATGTAGTTTACAGTTATAAAATAATTTCTTATAGACTACAGACGAATTATACTAATTAATAGGTAGTATTATGTTTCAGTCAGTTCGTCGTAGAAGCTATCTTTCATATTATCATATTTTACTTCTGTTGGTGCGTGGCCATTTATAATACAGATACTAATTGGGCTAGTGTTGATGGTTAAAGTTGATATCCGTTCGGATACTGGATTAAACTCCTTAATGTACGGTACTAATGTCCTATGAACTGCAAAGCCGTTACCGAAGTGATGTGTATTCTCCATTCCAGAGAAGAAAATCCTGTCATTAGTTGTCCTACTCCCAACCATCTTATTTCTTGTATGGCTGCTACTTTAACGTTGTAGGTGTTAAGGACATCAACTAAATTTTAACATGCACCTGTTCTATACAAGCTTGTCACATTCCATATCGCAATCTTAAAATCAGCATTCCGTTTCCAAAAACCAGTCTTGAATCCATGTAATCTTGTCCGAGGCTTAGGTGTAGTTGGTTTCATAACAAGGTTCTTTTACTAGGCAGTGTTGTTAGCCCTGCGCTTAACCCCCAACCTGGAGGACCAGTCTACCCCAACCAATTAAGGTCAGGGTAGGGCTACTGCGGTGTACTTATAAAGGTGCACTGGGCGATGGGAGCGCCACTTTCCCTACACCAATACTCTTAAACTTGAGAGAATACGGAGCTTTTTTAGGGCTCCGTAAACCACCCACGACAAAAGGGGAACACTTTTGTCGCGACCTGTGAGCCGCACCGCGTGATGACCCGAGGGCCAAGTCGGTGGAACTCACAGGCTTTGAACACGCAACGGCAAGTGAATGCCGAGGATTTATTTAAAGGGGAAAATAGTATTAAATAATAAGATATGTATTAAGGTAATCACGTGGGTATATTAAATGGGCATATAAGGATAATTGAAATTTAACATTATAAAGATTAATGATAATATGACATTTTTACAAGAATATAAGTTTGGCGCATGGCAAATGCACAGTAATGTTAACAATTTGGATTATATGGGCAGAGAGCCAGAACATGGCGATTATTAAAATAGAATAAACTTACGTTGTCGCATGCTTTCCCGGCCCGCAGGAGGCGCCACACCATATCACTGATGGTGTGTCCTCGCAGGGTTACCGGGAAAGCGTGCTAGGCTTATGAAGCCGAAAACAAAAGGGGAAACGAGATTTGTGTAGGGACCCGCGCCTTGCGACGCTTCCCTGGCGCACAGACTACACGGAACATGGATTCTGCGTAGCCTGTGGCCTACGTGCTGGTAAAGGTGGGACAGGGGAAATGAAAACATATTACGACATTTTACGTGACTGGCGACTGCATGGTTGTTGTGGCAGGTGCGGCTGGCCGCCACCCGGGCCCTCGTGGCCGACTTTAGCCCATCATGATAGTCGACGGTAGGTGTCGCAAAATGTTGACGGCAGTTGAATATTCCGGAAGTCGGTCGTGGGTTTGATCAGCTTGGCTGTCGCGTGGTTCGTAAGTTGATCGTCGAACAGACGAGCGTGTGATGTCGAACAGACAAGTGGAGAGTCGTGAGGAGACAGTACCGGTCAGGTCCAGCGTAGTCGAAAAAGTGATTTTGTGAATACGGAGACCCGGCGACGGCGGTGACTTGTTGCCGGCGGCGGAGCTTTCCGTTGTTGGTGGGGCAGGTCAGTATCGTAAATTAGAGGGAATTGTTACAATATTTTGGGTGTACAGTATAATTGCCTGCGGGCCGTACCGGCGGACGCGACGAAAGCGCTGGAGGCGACGGACGGCGGACAACCGCGGCACGTCGGTGACGAACACTGCATGGTGAAGGGGGGAACGGGGAACATTGATTGCATAACACTGCGGTCATTTCTGCATTAGCGCGCGATAAACATAATAATATATAAATAAGGTACGCTCATTAGTGGCAATATGGGTACAGGTATGTTTGTAATTATAATAATATTGAGGCAAAAAATGCTGTGACGTTACAGAACCCCCCCAACAAATTGTTGAAGGTGTCTGCAAGAATACCTGAAAACCATTTGTTGTAGAGTAAGATAGCAGAATTTTTTGGGAATGACCATAGACTAGCAATTAGGGGAAATATAACATTTTAAATGTCGACATCATAATAATAATCAAATACATAATAATAAAATTTAATTTGCAACCATAAAAGAATAATAAAGTCGGGTTAGGGAGGATGAGTGATAGGGTACTAGCATCACAATAATAATATAATAAAAACCTACACATCTGTGCGCACACAGTATATAATAATAATAAAAAACCAGCACATTAGTGCGAACACATTATAATAATAAAAGACCTACCAAATATAATTGAGGAACTAGTCCGGAGAGAGATGATGATACCACTAACCACTATAATCCCAACGGGGACAATATTATAAAAAGAAAACCTAACTAGGGAAGAGAAAAAAAAACCTCTGGTATAGTCTATGCCTTAACTGGGGTCACGACTATACCAGGTACGACCATATTATGGGGACTTGATATGGAAGGGACAAGGGGTCTCTGAGACAGTCTATGCCTTTACTGGGGTCACGACTGTCACAGGTACGACCACACTATGGGGACTTAGTATGGAAGGGAGAAGACAAAAAAAATAAAAATAAAACTATTGTGTACAGGCAAGATAACACGGACCTTGCACTGCATTGGTTACTCTGGACATTTTACTTTGACACGCATGGCAAGCCATGGTGGGACCTAACATTATAAAGGGGGGCTAACGAGAATGTTCCTGCATGTTGTAGTGAAAGGGCGGTCAAGAGGCGGGGTCTGGTGGCTCCTTTGCTCCCTTGCGGGAGTCGCCCTCCAGATCATCGGGCCGCGGGTCAATAGTGGTAAGTGTGAGTCGGCGCCCCCCCGGCAGCAGACACATCGCACCTGGCTTTTACACCAGGCGTATGTGAATGGGCCAGTGGAGGCTAACCAACACACACTAGGCCAACCAAGCCCGGACACTCACTGGGACGGAGCGTCACCACAACACCGGTAAAATTAAGAGAAGAGTGTCTCAGACTCTTTGCCGGACAGAGAGTAGTATCAGTACTCCCTGTACGACGGGGGCCCTACCGAGCTGGGGGACAACGAATTCGAAAGAAGGTATAAGAGAGACAGAAAAAAGGCGGGGTGTAAAGGGGAAATAGGGGGGGACAACGCGGAGAGTTACGAATTAAATGACCCGGGATTGATTGTTTCCACAATCACGTTCGCAGCACATCTGTGTGCTTTAGCACGACGCACACATAGTATCGGTGTCGATACCGACAGTATGTACTGGGTAACCCCCCATTTAGATGGAGTACGGAAGGCACAAGTTGGGTCACCAATTTCGTATACAATTTAAGATATATATAAAAAAAAAAAAACATTATCTTGGTAAAATTATTAATTTTGAACAGTTTAAGTTACTGGGGGTATGTACGGTTTGAGCTGATTGACATTGTAAGTACCCTGCAGCGGTATTCTGTAACTCGATAAGCCGTTATCGACAAACGTCGTTAACGAGTGCTTTTCGAGTTTCACGTTATGTATCGAATTTCGTTAACGAAAATGTGATTCTGTAATATCAGTTATTCGTAATTTTTCGTTACAAAAATGGTTTTTGTGTTATCGACAATTTCGTTAACCTTATCAAATAATTCAAAGAGTTTCATAAAATTGACCAATCAAAAACTATCCTGATGATTGGTGATAAGCTATTTTTCTTATCATTACTTATGTCTTATATAAACATTGTAAAATAAAAAATTTAAAATAGTAATTTTTTGTAATTTGTCTGTTGTTGTTACGTCTTGTTCGGCCATATCTTTAAGTTCTTAAAATTCTTTTTAGTTTTTAAAATTATGTCTACTAATAGTGGACCTCCCGTCAAAAGAAAGAGGCAAGGCCGAAGAAATAATGACCAAATTGAGTATTTGGTTGATTATATGCTCCAACATCCAAATTTGGCATCTGGAAAATTTTTCAAAATGAACTCGAGGGATGCATTGCAGGGATCTTGGGAAGAGCTGGTTAAAGAATTAAACGTAATGCGTAGTAATGGACAATCGGAAAAAAACGTAAAATCTTGGAAAGAAGTTGGTACAAAGGCGTGCGCAAGAATTTGTGTTGGGTGCAGTATACATTTTTATCCTGCACTATAGAAAAATGAGAGCCCACTTTTTTCCCTCATTCCTAATATAAGTAATTCACGAGGGGTAAATACTTGACAGAAAGTTTGTACACCAGATTACTGATTTCAATGATTATACCTATGAATACCCATGATTTCCTACAAAGATTACCTATGATTACCCATGATTACCTATGATTACCATCACCTTATGTACACTGATTACCCCCAAGGCGTTTACTCCTCGGACATTCAATAAATTAAAAGTTATGTATATTGAAATGAAATATATAGAATGGTCACTCTTGTAAAGTATTTGAATACAAGTATTCTTATACATGTATTTGATATTTACCCCTTACCTATTAATTATTGTACATGAGTATATGTTATAATACATAATATAATACAAAAATGATACCAGATAATTGAGTGTCTAATAAAGAATACTCAATAGATAGTATTATGTATTAAATTTACATAACTGGAATAGCAGATGTATTTCACCACCCACCGATCAATGTTCTTGTAGACTTCAAGCGTCTAACATTAATATTTTATGTACAAAAAATAGTCATGGAGAGATCAGAAGACCAAGACATCTAAAAAAGTCAGTGCTCTCAGAAGTGCAAGGGTGGAAACTGGGAACAAAAAAAATAATTTACCTCAGCTGTCAGATTTAGACACAAAAGTTCTAAGTATAATCGGCAATGATTACGTTGCAGGGACATCGTGTCCAGAGTCATGGCCGGAAGAGCAGGTATTTTATGAATACTCATTAAAAATTATTAATTTGTTGGTAAATAATAACATATTGATTACTAATGTTTGGTAAAATAATACCAACAGTTTTGCATACACTCATCCATCTGTTTAATAACTTATGGAACTTGTTAATAATTGTTTAACTCAAATAACTTAGTAGCTTCCATTTGTCTTGAAAATATAATATCTTATATTTTTAGGAAAATAATGTACAAAGGATGGCTTTGGATGATGAATCTATTTATCTAGCTGAACCCAGATCATTGAATGTTGAAATAGATGAAGAAAACATTAACCAAGGTTTGTAATATCTAGGTATTACATAAGCTTATGTCTACCTCTTTGTGCTTCTCTTCCAACTGTATGGCCACCTTTGTACAACACTTACATAGGGATCGTCCCCATCTCTTTTTTACTAAGATCATCTATTTTCTATAATTTATTCAAAATCTTCATACTAGGATTCATTATTCATAATATATAATTCATATATTATGCACCCTTGCCTTTAAATATGTGTACAAAAATACTTTTATTCCATTCCTGCAGCATCTTAACTTCTACTAACATCTTATTAAAAAAAACCTACTAAATGCCTTATGCATAAGTATACTAAACATCATCCATACCTCTAACTGGTACTCTTGGTCCTAACGCTTTCTTCCTTTTCATCTTTCTAACCGCACTCCTCACTTCCTTCGCACTAATAAGTCAATCATACCCAAATTCCAGGCTATATAAGTTTATGTAGGTACTAATTTAAATTAAATTTCAATGTAGGAGATAATATTGACTCAGATCTAGAAAACATAGAATATGAAACCATAAGTTGTAGTTTCATTAATGAGAATGATGTATCTACTACACCCATTGCAAGTCAACTAATTTACAAAGTGACAAAAGACAGAAAAGTGATAAGTTCAAAAAGACCAAGTAAGTTACAGTGTTAATTAAATGTGTTTATTTTATTTTATTTTACATATAAACGGGCTTGCGCTTATTAAAAAAAACTATAGGTATTTGAAAAATAATATAAAATAATATAAAACTTTAAATGAATCTCCTGAACATTTTGGTATTTGTGGCATATCATATTTAATTTAAAACTCAAATAGGGCCACTGATTGTACCAATAAATAAAAATGTATTTTATCTTTGTTTTAAAAATTATCATTTTTTTTTCTAGGAATGGTGAGGCAAAAACTTAGCGCTCAGTTGCAGTCGGCTAGAAATTCCTTCAATGGAATTGCAGAATAACAAGCTGATGCTATGACATTGATGGCAGATTCATTGTCGGTAATTGGAAAAGCCCTAAATACAATGGCTGATAATGATGCCAAAAGAAATGAAAACGATATGAAGATGATAGCACTCTATGACAAAATATTGCAAAAACTATAGTCTTAGGCAATATTTATGATAATATAAGAATATAAGATGTTAAATACTATAGTGTTAAATAGTTTATTTAAGGTAAAAATCTAAAGATATTTGATCTATTCAAATACAAAGACAAAGTAAGTAATTATTTTATTTTATTGTTATAGTTTTATCATACTGTTAAATAGTTTATTTAAAACATTGTTTAAAATTTAAAAAAAATTGATTTATTCAAATACAAAGACGAAGTATGTAATTATTTTTAATTAATTTAATCTTCCTCTTCCCCATCTCTTAAATGATCAAACTGATCTAAAATATGTCTTTGAATTCTTTTAGCCACCGCTCTAGGTCCACCTTGTTGATCAATATTTGGTATTTCTATGTTTTCATGTATGTTTTGGCCATTTTGTTCACCAGCTAACTCTTCTTCAGGGATTGGTAAATTATAATGGATTCGCATATTATGTTGAGTAGCACAAGCATTTACAATTCTACCTGCTTTATTAGGAGCATACATAAGTACTCTTTGATAGGAAAGACACCTCCAAACGCTTTTAAATACACCAAAAAATCGTTCTACCACATTTCTAGCTTTACAAAGATTTTTGGTGTATTCAAATTGACGTGTCCCTTCCTGATAATGAGGTAATGGTGTCATGAGCCATGGTTCTAATGGGTATCCAGCATCACCTAAGCAAAATAATTACATGGGTAAGCAATGATGACTTGGAAATTTCAAATTGGTATATAATATACATGTATATTATATTATGTATTCTAATAACATGACTTACCAATTAACCATGTACGACGTTCTCCATTGTTATAATGAAATTCCATTCCACGTCGTACTGCAGACGTACTCCATATATATGAGTCGTTGCGAGCTCCAGGATACCTTGCATTTATGTTCAATATTTTCAAATCCGGGTCAACAATCTTATAATAAAAATTCATAATTAGAGTTTTAAATTGCATAAGCAATATTTATTTTACACATAACAGGTAATACTTACTGCTTGAACGTTGAGCGAATGATTGCCATGGTGGTTAACATATGCCTCTTCATGGACAACTGGAGCGAGAATATTGATGTGGGTACAATCAATTGCTCCTAAAGTACCTTCAAATGGTTGGGGTGCAGCTTCAAATTTTTCTCTACCCTTTTGTCGTTCAACTGCAGTCATTGGGAATTTTACCCACCGTCTCAAAAGACGCTGGTTAATTGCATTTGTCACACTACTAATAGACCGACATACAGATGGCTGGCTAATGTTAAGGATAGAATTACCACCCAAACCTCTTTGGTAACTACCTTGAGCGTAAAAATGAACAGTAACTAGGAACTGTAAAAAAATAAAGATAAATATTTAATTAACAGAAACTTTATTCACATAAAAGAGAAACAAATTGTAACTACATTGCAGTCTTGTAAAGTATGTGAGTAATAGTATATAGTATAGTTATAGTATTTAGAATACTTTTTAGATATATTTGTATTTGAAAATCAACTACTTTTATGCAAATACTTATCAAAATTGAAACAAAATTAACTTACTTGCACTTCTGGAGATAGTCCTGAAGAACGTTTACCTTGTAATAAAGGCCTAATAGCATTTATCACGTCAAATGCTAGTTCAGGACTTATTCTAAACATAAATATAAATTCTTCATGAGGGAGATCAAAAGGATTTTGGGTATCTCTCAAAACCCTTCTTTCGATTCGCCGTTCTTGTGCTCTAACCCTTTCTTCCAACAGCATCAGTTCCCACCTCAAAAATTCTAGAGCCATGACGTGTATCTGAGAGAACGAGTTAGTAATAATTATTAATTCCAAAATCGCAAGATTAAAATTTGAAAATTGTACGAATGCACGATAACAGATCAATGATAACACGAAATATGACGTTTTTCCTCTTATCCATCCCCGGTAAGTATTATCGAGGGGTCTTGATGGGTGTATTAGGTTAACGATATTTTATTTTCACTATCGACAGTTTTAACGAAAATAGTTGTTAGGTTAACGAATATCTGTAGTACAGAATCGCTTTTATCGATAATATTCGATAAGAGAATTTTCGTTAGCGTAACGAATCGAAAGTTGTCGTTAAGCTAGCTTATCGAGTTACAGAATACCGCTGCTGGGGCGTATCATCATCTGGGCTGACTAATTCATAGGCGTTGACATTTTTAACATTTTTTACTTTAAAGGGACCATCGTATAATAAGAAGAATTTAGATATTTTTTTGTCGATTTTATTACTGAGTTTATGTGTTCGGGCTAAGACTAGATCATTTATTTTGAAAAAAGTGGGGTTGAGACGTTCTTTTTGATATTTTTTACGGTATTCGGCTTTTGAGAGTTGTACTTCTTGTGCTAATATTAATTGTTTGTTGAAATCTACTGCATAATTTTCATGAGGGAATTGTATAAATTGAGTGATGGGATTGTGTTGATGACTTTGAAGAAAGAGGGCAGAGGGGGTGTGATGTGTCGATTCGTGGCGAATGTTATTTAATGTCCACTCTATGTAAGGTACATATTGGGGCCAGAGGGAATGTCGTTCGTGGCAGTATGTGCGAAACATTCGACCAAGTTCTCGCATGACACGCTCTGCGGGGTTCGATTGGGGATGGTATATGCTGGTATGGGACACTTGTACGTTATATTTTTGAAGGGAGGTTTGCCAATATTTACTTATGAATTGCCTACCATGATCGGATACTATCTTTTTTGGAACACCGTACTTGGGGAAATAATCCGTGGTTAATTTTTTAACACATATTTTTGCGTTGGCGCATCGGAGGGGATATAATTTTACAAAACGGGTGAAGTTATCTACAATGACGAATATATAGGAAAATTGAAAAATACCGGTAGGGAGGGGACCATAAAAATCGACTAATAATTTATCAAGGGGCTTATTTGAGAGAATGGGTTGTAACGGACCGGCAATGCGAGTGGTCTTCGGTTTGCACTTCTGACACAACTCACATGCCTGTACGATACAACGGACGGTTTTATTAAGAGGGGAAATAACAAATATTAGCTAAATATAAGTATGAGCAGTTTTAAGGGGACCAGTGTGGGCATAATAATAATGGAATAATAATACAACTTGTTTGACTAAGTGGTCAGGAATATAAAGAGACTAATGGGTGTTAGCTTTGGTTGTTCGAATAAATAAAGTGTCTTTTTTCAAAGTATAATATTGTTTCCAGACTGGTGGGTGATTTGATTTTAATTTAATAATGATATTTTTTAAGCGGGGGTCTTTTTGTTGTTCAGATGAGATATTGTTAAATATTGAAATAATGTCGGGAGGAATAGGTGGGGGGAGAGTGTAATGTAGAATACTGGGGGAGTCTTTGGGTGGTTGATCGTCGAGACCGAGAGGGTGTCTTGACAGGGTATCTATGGGATTGTCTTTCCCAGGACAGTGAATAATTTTGAGATCAAACTCTTGGAGTGCAAGAGTCCAACGGGTGAGACGGGAGTTTTTTAATTTACAAGAGAAGAGAAATGTTAAAGCTTTATGGTCAGTATATAAATTAATTGGGTGGCCGAGAATATAAATTTTGAATTTCTGACAGGCAAACAGAATACCTAGCAGCTCTAGTTCAGTCACTGTGTAGTTCCTTTCGGCACCACACAGTGACCTACTTGCGAACGACAGGGTATTGCGTTGGCCCGCAGCATCAATTTGGAAAAGTTCTGCTCCAAGTCCTATGTACGAGGTATCGGTTTGGATACAGAATGGAATATTAAAATCGGGGTGAGTTAATGATATTTGAAGGGAGAAAGCAGTTTTTATTTTTTGGAAGGCTATTTTATCTTGTTCGGTGAATATCCAGGGAGTGTCTTTACAAATGAGATGAGAAAGGGGGTGTAATAAGGAAGCATGATTTTGGGAAAATTTACGGTAGAAATTACAAAAGCCGAAAAATGATTGGAGATCTTTTTTATTACGAGGTTCGGGAAAATTTTGAAGGGCGTTAACTTTATCGGGGTCCATGATCATACCGGTAGGGGATATAAAGTGACCGAGAAATTTAATTTGTTTTTTATGGAAGTGACATTTTTTAAATTTTAGGGTGAGGCCTGCTAGAGAGATTTTATGAAAGATCCACTCTAGAGTCTCAAGGTGTGTTTCGAAAGAAGGGGAGGATATTAATATGTCGTCGACGTAGGTATGAATGTCATTGGGGGAGGGACAGGGGCTAGTATAATTATTTAGAGCGGCTTCTAATCCTTTCCCAAAGGCTGCATTGGAAATATTTAACCCAAAAGGCACTACACAAAATTGGTAGGACCTTCCGTCGTAGAGGAAACTGGTGTACTGACGAACCGAGGGGTCGAGTGGGATTTGCCAATAGCCAGAGGAAAAATCAAGAGAAGAAAAAAAAGATTTATTATTAAATTTTGCTAGGATATCATCGATTGGGGGGGAAGCGTCTCGAGTGGGAAGAATAATAGTATTTAATTTGCGAGCGTCTAAGCACAAACGTAGTGTGCCGTCAGCTTTTATTACAGTAACGAGGGGATTGTTGTACGGGGAATCTGATCTTTCGATCACCCCCCACTTAATCATTTTGTCAATTTCTTTTTGTACGGCGGGACGACGAGAGAAGGGTACAGGGTACGGTTTAATTTTATAGGGGTCATGAGGTTTAATATTAAATTTATAAGAGAAGAAAGTGTGAAGGCCGGGTTTGTCTTTAAAAGTGTGATCATATTTTTGAAGGAGGGAGGTCATTAATTGGTGTTGAGAATCATTAAGGGGAATGTCATTGAGGGCAATATTTTTTTCTGTTTCGAATGGATAGGTTTGATTTATTAAGTGGGAGGGATCTTCGTACATGGTGAAAGGATCATTAGTGACAATAATATTTTTTAACGAATTAACTAAGCTATTCGGATCATTATCTTGAATTAATTTAAAGGGGATGTTATCTTTAATAGAGGGGAGGGAGATTTCCTTGTTATTGTAGTCTATGGTCACCCCGTTTTCAAGTAACCAGTCGGTACCTAGAATTAAGGGTGTAGACAATTGGGGGACAACTAGAAATATACCATGTGTTTTATAATTTTGAACATAAAAATTTAAATAGATTTGAGATTTTATTTTAATTGTTTTGTGACTGAGTGCCGTGGTCAAGAGAATGCCTGTGAGGGGAAAGAGGGGAATTGTATTTGGGTCAGAATTTTGATTTAATATTTTAAAAAGGTCTTCAGAGATAGCAGAGACAGTTGCGCCAGAATCTAAGAGAGCATTATGAGATTTATTAAAAAGAGTGATGGGAATTTCGGGGCGGTAATTTGGAGGAGGGGTTTGTTCAAAATCGGGGGGAGAAGCTAACGGGTGGGTGAGTATTGATATATTATGAGGATTGATATTAGAGGGGGACACAGTGCACATCCTCGCGGGCACGGTCAGACCTAGTTTTCCGGAGGAGGGGAAATGGTAGGGGGAGTTGGGGCGGATTGATTTTGAGAATTATATTGAGGGCGTTGATAGTTATTTTGACGAGGGGGATACCTATTTTGTTGATTGGGGCCAGAAGAATTATTGAATGAATTTCGATTCTGATTATTTTGATTTTGATAAGAGGGAGCATTTTGATTATTTTGATTTTGATAAGAGGGGGCATTTTGATTATTTGGAGGGGAATGAGCTTGCTGAATGTGGGAGAGTTGTTGAACAAGTTCATTAGTGGTGGTGATACGGAGACCTCTGAGGGCAATGGAAATGTTAAAGGTGAAGTGGGACGTGATCTGATCAACCATCTCGGCCTGATCGATTGGTGGCTGCAAGAACCGGGCCTTACTGATCCAATCCATCGCATGCTTCTGCAGAGATGATGAGTCTCTGTGGAAGTAGGGGCGATAGAGTTCGTTTCGGATTGCGCGCTGTTGATTGGGTGACCAGAACTGATTACGAAATAATACTAAAAAATCTTGATAATTTGTAGGGGGAGGAAGTAGAGTGGTATACCAGAGACGGGCACCTTCGACGAATTTAGACTTTATATAATTAATTTTGACATTATCGAGGACTGGGGGCTGGGTAAGAAAATATTGTTCGGCCTGTTCAATGAACTCCTCAGGATGAACTGGAATGAGTTGACCATCATAGGGGGGGAGCTTTGCAGAATCGAGACTAATGCCAGTGCTGTTGGAAAGACGTGCGTGAAGTTGGCCCCCCCACCATGACCGATTTTTTTGAAAATTATGTACTNACGATATTTTATTTTCACTATCGACAGTTTTAACGAAAATAGTTGTTAGGTTAACGAATATCTGTAGTACAGAATCGCTTTTATCGATAATATTCGGTAAGAGAATTTTCGTTAGCGTAACGAATCGAAAGTTGTCGTTAAGCTAGCTTATCGAGTTACAGAATACCGCTGCAGTGAGTTTAGGTCCCGTAGGACCAGGCTCGTATGCATGGACTAGTTGCTTCTCGATGTACCTTCGTTTATCAGTTTCCACGTCGTCGGCGGCGGCGAGTGTCGACGGCGACACCCCACTAGACATCACTATCATAGCATAAATCCCTGTTACAAATATTCTGATGACTGATGATGTTAGATCGTTTTTATTTTATACAGTTTTTCATTCCTTCCATTCCACGCTACTCGCATGCGTTATACCTTACAAATTTAAAACGTGGCAAAAATTGTTTTGCGCGGGATAGAACCAATCAGGCTGTAATCCAAGCTAAGCAGCCAAATTTTCATATTTGTTATGATCGTCTGAAGTTAAAATTTTGATTAAAAAATTTAATTTTGGTACAGCTTCGTGGGTGTTATACAAGTACCTATGATAGTTGATAAATTGTAAGTATTTTTATCTTCACATGAGCAACTCGAAAAGTATAAATAATATATTCTTAAAGAAATAAAGCTTAATAAAGATATATAGGTATAAAAATTAAGCACTAATATAAATTAAAATTAATTTCCAATTTGTATAATGTTATGTACCTACTACCTAATATATTAGTCATAGATTTTAGGAAGTATAGACGTATAGTTCAGGACGACCTGTGTATATGAGGGTTACACATTGAAAATAGCTGTGTACACCACTGACTACTGTTGATTTTGTCTAACTACGGTTATAGTGTTATCATACATTAATACACATTATTACGCCTTATGGTTTTTGTATGAGTGGCATAACACAATTGCCACACAAAGTGTCTATATTGCCACTACGGCTAAACATAACACAAAAAGGTTAGGCCATGAACATGTACCGACAGAGCTCGCCGCAGTGATATAATAAATATAATATATATAATAATATATTAAGATCAGCAGTGAATGTTGGACTCCCATCGACTAGGG